GCGAGGTTGAGTGTGCTGGGCAGTAGTCATGCACCGTCCTAATCCTTCGTACCCAAGAATTGTCATCGCGGAACACGCTCAGCGAACGTTGACCATGTCGGTGAGTACGTTCTGTCAAAACATCAATTACACATATAGACTTGGCTTTGTATCCTTGATATGTCAAAAAGTCAGAAGATGAGTCTAGATACGCTGCAGGCTGTGGATATGAGCCATTAGTCACCTTGTGAGCAGTTTGATGACTCGGAAGGGGTCCTTCAGCTGCCAATTTGTGGCGCACCACTTCGCATGCCGAAGCAATGCTTGTCTATACAAGCCGGGGAGATGCTCAGGGGGCTGACCGGTAAATATATCGATTGTAACATGGTCGTCAATACTACAACCCCTTTAGCCACACCAGAACCTCGCGTCAAAAGCGTCATACACACCTCAATCAAACCTACCCCTCATCATCTCTTTTGCCAAGTTGACCAACATGCCCAAGACCTCCAGACCCCGCGCCAGTATGAAGGATACGAGAGCATGACAAACTCCACGTCTGCTAGACGGGTGGAAACGTGCTCGTATGGTCGTCTCATACGGACGAATCTGGCGTTGGCGCGGCATTTGAGGGTATTGAATCAGGGCTATTTTGGGACTTAGTTGCATTGGTTGGCGCCGGCCCATGTGGGCGGATGTGGCTGGTGACCCGAAGATGCCTGTCATTTCCTGATGACCCGTCTGCGCCGCTTTACAACCTTACAACAACAACAACATCGCCATCATCATCACCGTCATTTCTCCATGTACCGAATGATAGCTCGGAATGCTCATTTAGTCTCACGGGGCAAGAGGGACTTTGTTTTATCAACAAATATTACAGCACTTTCCTAGACAGAGAGGAAACATCGAACCACTCGGAGAGTCAAGCCACCTTGGCGCCTACGCCGAAACTCCCGGTGGCACATCGACGCTACCGAAACCCCCCCAAAGCAGCCTAAACCAGGGGTGGATCGCAAGCTTACACTTGCGCAGACCCTATGAAAACCTTACAACCCCTGTCATGAGGTCCAAAAGTCCAGATGTAGTGTGGCTGAGTGCAGAAACAAAGTGCGCCGCTGGTGTGATGTGATGTGTCTGCGTTTCGTATCCGCCATATTTTCCTGTGGCTACTCCAGCTTACCTGCCTTAGTGCCCTGCCTTACTCCAGTTCCAGCGCGCGCGCGTTTCTGGCTTAGACACACCTTAGCGAATGTAGCTAGGACAAGCTCCGCAAACAAAAAGCACGACTTGCGGGCGGTGTTCGAGACTGGACTGGTGTTGGTGCCGTGTAAGCGGGAGTAGCGGGCGGGCGTCACTGCACGTTTTAGTATATGAGTCTACTGACCCGCGTTTGCGCTGAACTTTTGGTATCACCACTTTACATCATCGAGCTTGTTGCAGCATCATTGAGCGCAGTTTTCTTTCCTTGTCTCTTGTAATTGTTGATGGCTAGGTGACATTCGTTCGCTCTTCTATTCACCTTTTACTAGCTGTCGATCACCCGTCTTCATTCTACACATCCTTGTTACCTAATTATTCGGATACTGTCACTACGAATACGACTCCCAAAGCAGATCGATTACCATGTCTCGCCTTCCACCTCTAGGAGCCTTGCTCCTGCCTCTCACGGCACTACTCGCCCAACCTGCACTCGCTGCGAATCCGTACACTAGCTCTATGAGCGAAACACCGAAAGACAACAACGCAGACTGTGATTGCTATGTCGTGCAATCCGGCAAAGACTCGAATACACCAGAGTACTTCCAGTATTACCGATTCTACGACTTCCGAAACCTCCCGGGCGCGATGAGCGAATCGCCGCCGCTACTCAACGATACAGACAACGCGGGTTTGGCGTCGACATGGCAGCCGGATCTCTTCAACAGCGATGCGTGGAACTACGATTGGGGGATCCAGAACTGGAGCAAACCGTCCACCGAAGACTTCCCCACACCAATGAACAACTCCTTCGCAAACATCTTCCTAGGCCAAGAGGACTCGACGTCCTACCTCGCACTTCGCACATCGCGCATGGACGACTACCAGACATCTGGCGAGATTGAGAACGAGCAAAAAAACCTCATGCACGTCTCCATGCGCATGTACGGTCGTGTTCAAGGAGCCAAGGGAGCCGTAGCAGGATTCTTCACCTTTTACGACGACGACAACGAATCCGATATCGAGATCCTGACCGACGACCCCAAAGACCAGATCCGCTACACAAACCAGCCCTCAGTAGGCAAGGACGGCAATGAAGTGGCTGCCGCGTCTGTGGGCCCCACCGATCTTCCACGTTGGGACGACTGGCAAACACATCGTATCGACTGGCTGCCCAAGAACAGCTACTGGTACCTCAACCAGAAGCAAGTCGCCTCCAACACATACTCTGTACCCCGCGAGCAGAGTTTCATGGTCCTGAACATGTGGAGCGATGGTGGAGAGTGGAGTGGCGATATGGAAGTGGGCGATAATGCCGAGTTCCATATTCAGTGGATCGAAATGACGTTCAATACCAGTGGACCGTACACTGGTAAGCCTCAGGAGGATAAGAGAGATACGACGAGTTTGTTTGGGAGAAAGAGGTCGGAGAAGAAATGCAAAACCGTCTGCAAAATCGATGACGTGAAAGAAGTCGGTACGCCGGAGGTTGTTGAAAGCGGTGCCATGGGCATGAGCGTTTCTTGGGGTCTGTTGGCTGTCGTGGGTCTTGTATCCGTTGTAGTCGGGTTCTAGAATGGACTCGCGTGGTAATGATTGTATTAAATACCAAGTCACACCCTACATTTGATCTCATCTGACGCTACTTTTATTAACTACAGTACGAACTTCCCCAGTACCCGTGGTCTAAGTCGTCTTGCATCTCTTCTGATGTCCTTGGAAATCTCTTGCATGTAGAACCTTCAATATAATATCGCCGACCATCTTTATGATCCACGTCATATCTGCGATAGTTGTCCAGTGGGGACACGTACCACCATCTTTTAACGTCGGTCAATTCTTTCAGGCCATCGTCCGCAAGCTCTGAGTTTGATTAGCATCTTATCTTCCACGTCAAGGCTTGTTCGGTCGTGGCTTACCCGCAGTCCAACAATCCACTCGCACCGAAATATCGAAGCTGATAGTGGGTACATGCACCGACGCTTGCTCACGGATTTTCAACAGGTCTTTGAGGTAGGAGGGTACACGATCAAAAGAAGTGTACAACTTCTTATACCAATATACATGAATACTCTTCAAGTGAGAAAACCGACCGTTTCGACGAGCTTCGAACAGATCTTTGATGTATGTGTTGAAATTTATCAAGAATGGACTGCAGGCTAGGTCAAGCCACAAATGTTCGATCGTGTCCGGAAGAGCGTCTGATAAGGCAGGAGACGTGTCTGTTGTATACCGCCTCATAGAGTCGTCGCCGAGAATGGTGAACGGATTAATTCGTAAGAACTTGAGCGAGGTCAATAAGGAGCCGATGCGAAATAGGCCTGGACTACACGGGAGACAACGCCTGATGGTTGCTAGTTGGTCACCAAGTGATAATTTGGCAAGAGTATCGGTATGTCCAAGAAGGGCTGTACTAACGTCCTCGTAGAATGTGCTATCAAAAGGTGCATGTTTGTAGGGCAATAATACTTCGAACTCGGTGATTGCTCTGCATGCAAGTAGCATGTTTGCTATTATCGATCCACTGAAACGTGGAGAGAGTAGCGATAGCCTAGTGATGGAAGAAGTGCGCAGAGGCCATATCCAGGGCTCTCCCATGAACGCCGCGTCGTTCTTATCTGGCCAGATTCTTCTATGGAATGGATCAGGCCTTAGACACTGCCCATCCCTCCATTCATCCCAATCCATATCAAAGCTCACGCTACCGCAATTTCCAAGCGTGAGATCGACTAGATTGGGAAGACGAAAGAAAGACAGCACTTGGCTGACTGACCATTCGAGGCCACTTTGGTACACGTCAAGATGAAGGACTTTGAGCTTTTCAAACCCACCCGTGTGAGCACTATAGGAGAGGCTGTTCAGCAAGAAGCTTGTGTAATTCCCGTCCAACTGTAATTTGGGTAAGCGGATCCAGAGGCGCTCCAGATTAGGTGCAGAGAGGACACATGGTGTAAGTAGTACATCTTCACCAAGGATAGCTCGCTGAAGAAGGTCTTGGTCGTCAGCATGTTCCTGATCATTGTCCATGGCTGATATGAGCTTGGCAAGCCATTTGTAGTGCTCTGGGGTATCAGCTGGCAGTTTTTCCACTTCGTCATCACCTCCCTTTCCATCACTCTCTTGTGCGTCACACGGACGTCGCTTTTGATAGCGACAGTGTCTTTCATTGTAGTCCACTCGCTCCTCGTCCCCGCTCTCGTTTCCCGAAAGCATGACGTGGCCCGCCCAAAAGTCGCCGGCTTCAAAGCCGTCCTCCATCTTCAGTCTTACACTCTTGATGTACCGGCACAGCTCCATATTGTTGAGCAAGGTTTGTGGTAGCTGACGATAGGCCAAACTGTCCACATCACCTGCTCTCTCTATGAACTCGTAGACGAGTGGCGCGGCAACATCTCTTAGTCTTCGAGAGACGCGACTCAAGACATGGAGATCTGGCGAGCGATCGGCTACGTGTGGTGAACTGAAGTCTGTTACTGGCGGTGTATGCAGGTAGCCGAAGATTTGGAGGAGCAGTTCATTTGGTAGTTCCTCCATAACTTCAGAGTCAGGGCCACACAGACGTTGCGTGTAGAAGGCAAAATGAAGATGGCCGAGGTGAGGGGTTCGCGTTCATAATAAACGCGTCTGCGCTGGTGCCTGGCGTTAGCGTCAGGCATCCCTACGCTAGTCATGCGTGGCCTTCTCGCCCAAGCACCTCGGCAAGAGATTTACGGAAACGCTGCTTCATCACGTGAAATTCCAGATGGCAGTATAGCTGGTATGTCTCTCGAATAAAGAACACTTGTTCGCTGCAAAAGCAGAATGCGCACTCATATCTCTGTCTATACCGTCTTCTTCTTCCCCGGCGTAATCAGCGCAAGTGCCTCAGAACTCACGTCCTTCAGGAATTTGCCAGTCTCGCCCGGCGTGAAATCCAGATTCAACTTCAGCTCATCTTTCAGCAGCGTGCCTTCCAAGTAGATCTTGAACGGTTTCTGCTCTTGCTTATTAGCAGTAAGTGTACCCGTAAGCCGAGCCACCCTGATGTCGCATATCGTTCCCGCAGCCTGTACCGCTGCATCGAGTGTTGTGTAGACAGCATCATTGATTGTGTCGAGAGCGTCGAGACCCGCCTGTGCAGCTTTGAAGGCGATGTTGTTGTTCTTAGCGACCTCGAGCGCTGCCTCTGCAGTGGTAACGGCGGCTGCCTGCGTGCTGTTCTTGAGCTGTTCTAGTTGGATTTGCAACTTCTCTCCTTCAATACGCTGCGCCTCCTTGTAGGTGTTGTATGACTCCTGCGCTTTGTCGACCACTTCTCTGGCTTCCCGTTTCGCTTTTTCGAAGTCGCCCTCGATTGCGGACTTTGCAGCTGACAACAAGCCTTCCGCGATCTTCAACTGGTTTAGGGCCTCTTGTACAGCTTTGGCGGCCATCGTCTTTACTGTTTCGAAGACTTCGCTGGCGTCTAACCATACCTGCTTCATGCTTTGGAATGGTCCGGAGTTCATTGTGTCTTTGACCAACTGTACAGATGCCTCTGCAATAGCTAAGCCTGCTTTCGCTGTTCCCAACGCGGCGTATAGTGCGCCAGCTTGAATGCCCTGTGGTCGGTGATGTTAGCAATACTAAACTTTGGTGATGATAGGCAAACTTACCAAGTCTGGAGCACGATACCACGGTCCGTTTTTCAATTGCCATTCGACATGATCGATTTCACCACGGATCGAATCGACTGAACGGTTTGCGTTGGACAACTCGTTCAGTGCTCGTTGAAGTGACGCGTCAGCTTCACCGAATTTCGCATAGAAGTCTTGCTTCCTGAGCTCTCTTGCAGATAGAGCAGCATTTTCATCGTGGCGACCCTTTTGCTCCTGATGTTCGTATTCGTTCCTCTTCGCATTGACTTCATTCTCTTTTTCATACACCTTTCTGTCCCGCTCGAGGCGTGCTTCCTGTGCAGAGTTGCTAACAATCAATCCAAACTGATGAGACTGACTGACTGACTGATTGCTTGGCAGTCAGTTCAGTGTCAGTTTAGAGCTCTCGTCTTATCAGTCAGTTCAGTTTAGAGCTCTTAAACT